TGTGTGTGTGTGTGGAGAGAGAGGGGGTTAAAGCTGCAGTAGGTTAAATATTTTTTGTCATATTTACGGAAACTTTTATTATATTCTGACAGAACAGCGTCAGATAGATAAGCTGTGAAAAAATCAGGTTCCTCTGGCTCCTCTTAGTCCACCTGGCCCCGAATGAGAACAACCAATCAGAGTCCATACAGACGCTTTGGGACCCTGGCCCCGAAATGCCACCGGGCTTTATAACGTTTGGCTCCGTGATCGGCGAGTCCTCAAACGCCACCGAGAGCGTTTCAAAAGTGGAATTTGGGGGTGAGAGTGAGACTCAACAATCAACTATCGTTGTATCGTTCCTTTAATCTGATTGGTTGTTTTCGTTCGGGACCGGTGGATTCTCACAGAAGCCTTTAGAGGCGCTAAAACGAGCCAGAGGAACCAGATTTTTTCACAGAGTATCTGTTTTATGTTCTACTGTCAGGATATAGTGATAGTTTCAGCAATCAGCAAATGTTTTTATAAAAATGACCTCCTGCTGCTTTAAGGTAATAGTCAGGAGCCAATATCTTTATTTAAACAGTTTTTATTTTGCTGTAAGTCGTTCCTCCTCTTACTGGACATGAAAATATCATGGCACAATTATCTTGGCAAAAATAATTGCGATATACGATATTATTGCGATAATCATGAAAATATATTTTCCTTTCTTATATTTACTGCATTAGAGATAGGCACCTCATCTCCCTGCTCTTTTATTTTTGTGCCCTTGTTGTTCAAAATAAATCAGGAAATCAATACAGGACTGTGTGCTGGCGAGCTAGAGAGCTTTTTCCAGATCAAGCCATGTGAGGATATTCAGGATTATTGTGATAATGGAAACTGAGTGATACACGATAATACCTACAGACATTACTCAGGACTCAAAAAACACCCAAATATCATTAAGCTGTTTTTATTTTGTTTTTGTGCTCAAATCATCGTCTCATTTCAGATATTTAGCCCTCATTTATTATTCTTATGGAAAGCACAGAGACCAATTTTATTATGTAATGTTATATTAATTGAATAAAATCTTAGTTTTTAAATACTGGAGGTTAGATTGACAGGAGTCTTTAAATAATAGGCTGTATAAATAAATGTAGATATCCATTTTACTTGAGCCGGTCGGCTGTTTGGAGATATTTTAAGCAACTTTTATAACAACTTAATCTGTTACAGATAGTCAGGAACCTCATGGTTAAAACTGTAACGGTATTATTGATCAGCATCATGTACACTGTATGCACATCTGTACTAATAATCAGCAGCTCCTGACACTCATCATGGAGGAGATTAGATATCCTAACCTCTGCTGTTCTTTCAGGAGAGCAGAGTACTGCGCACAGTTCCTCTACTTGCTGCTTGTTTGCCATCAGGAAAATGCAACGTCATAGTTGGAAGGAGATTCAACGAGGAGAAGTAAGTCATATTTCCTGTCAGCGCACTGATTTTTAAATAAAATAAACCAGTTTTCAACCTTTTTTAAACATGTTTTGTTCTTGTCTCCTCTCTCAGGCACCCGGAGCTGGCTGCCGTATGTCGGGACAGCAGAACGCTGATCCTGTACCCGGGCCCCAAATCCCAAAACCTGGAGGAGTTAGTGCAATACCAGGAAGTGGGCAGTGTGAAACATAATGTGATCATCATAGACGGCACCTGGAGCCAGGCCAAGAACATGTTCCTCAAAAACAGCCTGTTCCACCTTCCGAAACAGGTGTGTATAAGTGTGTTATCCCGTTTCAGACGTGAAGAGAACAGTTAATTTAGTCAATAAGATGAAGGAAATAAACACATTTTTGCCCTCAGTTGTGTCATTAAGGCCAATTTACAGATATCCTTGGCTGGATTTACTGTATATGTTTAAAATAGTCTGAATTTATGAGCCTAAATCACAAAATCTTGCTGGACCGGAGAAGAGTGGCCCTGTGCACCCGAGACGGTATAAACTCTCCCATTACACCCACTGGTGGGAAAGCTGCCTCACCCACATGAAATGACTAATTAAAACAAAATATCTCTTTAAATGTGGGAGAGTGAAGACTGTGCACTTATCTCTTCCCTCTCGCTGTCCTAATATTCTTTGGTGTTTTGGCAAAAATTATAGTTCGGAAGACTGAACGTTAAGTGCACATTATATTTTAATATTTTATCTCTCGTTACAGTTTAATGGCCAGTGCTGATTCATCTTCAGTGGTTTTAATGTTGCTTTCATGCATCTATTTTAACGACACTTTGTTTTTCTTACTCCTAAAGTTATAATTCTATTTTTGTTTTTGAAGAAAAATAATATATTTATTGCTCAGACATGATATGACAAGTAAAATGAGTGTGTAAGAACAATCCTCACCAACCTTCTACCACAGAAAAAGAAGTAAATAAATATGCAAACAAACAGGTTTTGTAGTAGAGGATTGAAGCAAATATAAGATGTATTCTTTGGGAGTTCATTATAAGATTGTGCCACAACCTTTTTTCTTTCCCAGTAACATCCTCGATCCGAAAGAGCAAAATGTTCTTGCTGCCGGCAAAAGTCAGCAGATTGAATAACCTCTTATGTTTTGTTATTTTTAGTGTATCTGGCAGACCTAGAAGGAGGCGCATAAAATAACAGTTCTTCCACAATAAGAGACCAAATAGCTTTGTAACTTCACACAGTGAATATATCTACCACAGGGCTAGAGTGGAGACGCTTGAGCAAACCCTTCTTGAGCTTTAAATCCTGATTGTACTAGCGGTAACAACAAATAAGGGTTCAATACTACAGAAAAACACTCATTAAGTAGTTTTTATGTCAGAAATACAGCAGAAGATCAGCTTACAGTTAACTGATTAGTTTATTTTATTATAGAGGGACATGTACCACACACCACAGCATTTATAGCCTAAGATAATTCCCAACGCCTGTTCCTAGTTTGGGGCCTTTAAAATTACATAAAACTCAATAAATACACAAGAAACACAGAACTCAGCAAGAGAACATACAGGACACAAAGTAAGAAGTATTCAGGGCACAGCAAACAGCTTCCATGCTGAGAAGCTTAAGGTGTCATGTGTTGTTCCACGACTTCCTCCAGTATTTAAAACGGTTTCATTGGCTCTACAATCTGTCACAAAATACGCTGCGTTTCTATAAGTGCTTTACAATTATAACCAGCTCGATGTTTCACAAGTTGCGCACTTTTCTTTTAATGTGAAGCAGCAGGAGTTGGAAATGTTGGGTTTGCACTGGCAGTAATGTAAGGCAGCTCTGATACGGCTGTTAGGAAAGTGAACAGCCAGACTGATATCAATTAGACTAATTAAAAACAGTAAAGCTGGATTAACATGCTCGCCTCGTCCTCTGTGAATCCCTCGTGCACGTGAAGGCAGTTTGAATCCAGCACAGGAATGGTTTATAATAAATGAAGTTGAAAAGATGCAGACTATAAATAGGGTTTGATTTAATAAAATGTAATAAAGGATTATAACTTTTATTTATTTTTTTTATACTGCTGATCACCTGTCCTTCGGTTTACCAGGTCCAGCTCAACAGGACTCTGTCCAGTCAGTATGTGATCCGCACGCAACCCTCCAACATCTGTCTGTCCACGCTGGAATGTGCTGCTGTCGCCCTCTCCATCCTGGAGCAGAATGACGACATCCAAGAGGTGACGTAGTGAAATAATTACCATTATTGGGCCATTAAATTAGCAGTAACTGATATTTTTGGCCAGCAGAAACACTCAGCAGCCGTATTATGACCGTTTGAGTTGATATGATGTAGCAAACAGTTGCTTATTTACACATCCAGCAGTAACAAAGCAACATTAGCATCCATTTGGAGTCACGTTTGTGTCCATCTGATGAATGTAAGCCCAATATTTACTCTGCTTTTAGTCTAAATGCTCCACTGTGTTCAGCAGCTAGTCTGCTGGTTGGTGCTGGCTGGTGTTGCTCAGTGGGTTTGTCAGAGGTTTTTTTTTGTTGGAAACAGCTGCCTGTGTCTGGAAATGAAGCTGATGAGAGCCGTTAGACTGAACTTAAACAGTAAGGGCACAGGCTTAACGACAAAATATGTTATAATTTGATCTATTAATTAAAGCAGCTTTAAAATGACAGAAGTGTGAAATCAGTAAAGTCATATTCAGAGTTCCCATGTATCCTAGAAAACCTGGTAACTGATTAAAGTGACCAAATATCCTGGAAATAATCCATATTGTCCTCAAACATGTTTATTGTATTTTTGCCTACATTAAACTTTAGCTGCATATTTAGTGTGAAACTCGACAGTTGGTAGCTACACGGTACAACACTTCAGAGATCTTTTCTGTGTCGTAATGAAGCTGAGACACAAAAAAAGAGGCATAAAACTCAATAATAAGTCAATAATAGGCCTACTGGTACATTGTATCAGTGGTTCCCAACCTTTTTCTTTTAGGAACCTCTTTTCTATCATTGAGTAAACTGACTCTGTGACACATTTTATGGATATTTCATATCATATTCAAACAATAACAGTACAGAACTGGGGGGGGGGATTTTGATTCATTTTGAGCAGATTATTTCCTGATAACTGTGTAAACGTTTTACACTTATTATTCTAATAATATAATTATAAATACTTAATAGGCTTCTTTTTTTGACAAATTCAGTGTTTCTTTCCCCGTAAAGCTTGGCCGTTGTTCTCTCAGCTCTTTGATTGTTTAAACTTTCTCTAATGCAGGACGAGGCTGTTCATCAGGCAGTGAAGGTCTTCAAAGTTTATATCTTAAATAATAACCTAAGCTTTAAAAAAAACAGTTTAATTTAGTTATCTTTAAACTTTAAAGGACTACTGGGGGGATCCTGACCTTGTAGGTTGGGAACTACTGCTGTTCTTGTTGTCCTGAATTGTCAAGAGAAGCTCCTGGAAAAGGATTTCTTAAGAATACTGGACCCAGACGTTGCCGTAGAATAATTATCTTGTATTTTTAATCACTCTTCCGTTCAGGTTCTGCTGAGGCCCCTGAAGGCCCTGTGCTCCTTCCAGCTACAGCACGGCGCCCAGGTCCATCACAGCAAAGAGCATCTACTGAAGAACGGCATGTACGACAAACCGATGCCCAAGAACAAACGCAAGATAAAGAGGATGGAGAAACTCGTCACTGACCACAACATCTGCCCGAGATGAGGGAGCGTCCGAGCGGAGAAACGGGGGCCCGACTCATCTCTGCTGTCCGCGCTGCACAGGACTGAATCATCAGAGCAGCACGCCGCCACCGCCGCATCAGGGCGCAGGAAGGAAGGGAAACCACTGGACTTACTAGGGAGTTGTTGTCTTTTTTTCTTCTGTTTTTAGATTATTGTAATTTATGTATTTGTCATTAATTTAAAATAAATTAAGGACATGTTAAAGTGTGACCAATAAATCAGGTTTTTTTTTTTGTTGTTGTTTTAAAGCGGTTTACATCGTTCCTCCTCCTGCACTTTATAAACACTGTGGTGGTTCTGTTGTGATTGACTTTATGTGGTTATTACATCTGGAAAACTGTAATACAATAAGTTATTTTAACTACATTTTAAGTAACACAATCTCAGTTTTGTAAGTTAAAAAATATTCTTTATTAAGCAGCTTTTACTTTTAATTTTAAGTGACACAAACTTTGAAAACATTCCTGATTAAGTACTTTTTACTCTGTATTTTGTTTTCACAGTACAAATACAAATGTTATGTCAGTGTCACTTAAATTACCAAAGCTAATTGACCACAAATGTTTTTTTAATCTACAAAATTAAGTTACATTTTCGATGTAATCGGTATCAACAAATTTCTTTTGTTGTTAAATGAATTTATCTGGTTTTACAGTAAAGGGCTGATTCCACTGCTGTTTTTTTAAATGAACAAAAATCTTCATTCAGATGTGTTACAAAATAAAAAATTACTCTAAAACCTATGTGATGCTCAATGAAACTACGAGACGCACACCATACATGTAAGGTCAGTATTGTTGATGATGTGAGCTCCTTAATATACAGTAAGGTACATTTTAGCAGTAATGTTTTTAAATATTTAAATGCAGGCCCATAAGTAATTGTACATTAATTAGATATTACATAAAGAAATTAAAGTTGATCTGCACATGGTCCATAAATAATATCTCAATAAGGTCTAATAAGGTATTATAGGTCTCTTGCAAGTGTTGAATTTGCCTTTTCAGATGCTGAAAACTGCATTAAATGATTTAAATATGCAAAAAAAAAAAAGTGATTTAACTCGAGCTCATTAATTGTAAAACAGGCCGGTAAAGCGATGATGGTGTAACGGGGTCAACTACTTTTTAACTTGGTCATGAGTTTAAGGGTGAAATTACAGCTTTAATTAATAAGATGTACAGAATTTACCTCCTATAAAGAACAATTTACTCCAGAGGAGCTCTGGGACTCTGATATTACAAATGGTGATGAGTCTGGAAGGCTGGAAACAGTCCTACACACCATATATTTATATGTTTATTGTCTTCAATATAATTCTTAATAATCCTTCTATGTAATTGGGACACAAAACAGGTAACATTACATTTTGTGTATCATCCTGATTACAAAATAGCAGATGTGAGTAAACAACACAGTACAAGTACAAAAAATAAATAAGGAAATAGGAAATAATCAGGGTAATGTAGTCAGTTACCTAATCCAAGAATCACAATATTAAAGTAACTTTCTGTTACTTTTGGATTACAAATATGTAAACAAAAACAAGAGAAAATAAATGTCAATAAAAGGTATTGATTTGAGTGTTTTCTATAAGACAACAGGGCATTTTAACCATTAAAAAGATTAATTAAAAAAAAAAATTGCATAAAAAATAACGTATTTTTTTAAAAACTGATGTATTTTAAATTGTTAATCCTGCTAAATAATAAATAATTTCACTAAATGTAACTAATCTGATTATATATTTCCTCTTTTTGTTACTGTAATGGATTACAGTAACCTATTTTGTTGTATCCTGATTACGTAACTCAGCTACATGTAATCTGTTACTCCCACAAAGCATGTAAATAATAAAAAAAAAAAACACATTAAAAGCAGCTGTAAGTCACTACGATGGAGTATTAGGGCAATACTAAGAAAAATAAATGTTGGGGGGGATTACGAGAATAAAGTCGTAATATTACAAGAATAAAGTCATAATATTACGAGAATTAAGTAGTAATTTTATGAGAACTGTCAACTACGATATTATGAATACATTAGTTTACCTGTTGACTGTCAGGTACGACTGCTGTTTGGTTGAGCTGCTCACGTCAGAT